TGGTGCAAAATGAATAGATTTCTAGGATTTTGTTCTGACCGTGACGAAGAGGAATGGAACAAAAAAAATATTTGATCCTTATCAAGATCATATAAATTGTCATCATTTGCATTTGATTATTATCTAATTACCTTCACGTGCATCACGTGAAGATCATATAAATTGTCATCATTTGCATTTGATTATTATCTAATTACCTTCACGTGATGTACGTGAAGGTAATTAGATAATAATCAAATGCAAATGATGACAATTTATATGATCTTGATAAGGATCAAATATTTTTTTTGTTCCATTCCTCTTCGTCACGGTCAGAACAAAATCCTAGAAATCTATTCATTTTGCACCATTTTTTCCCTTTCCTAATAAGTCGACCTATTGGACTCATTGATCTCTTTCTTATTTACTTATCTATTTTGAATCATGAAATAATAATTAGTTCGAATCTGCAAGCTATAAGTGAAGATAGCGCATTCATGGATTCAACGCGCTGGATGCTAGTGAGCGCACGTTCGCATCGCTCTCATCTCTTGATATGTTCTAGGTCATAGGTGATACCCTAGGCAAGTTTTTGAGAAAGTTTGGTGAAGTGAGCAATTCTAGGAACATTGTCAAAAAAAACCTCAATTATCGAAAAGTGCCAAAACCCCTGTAAATCGCTCAAATTCAAAATGTAATAATTCTTAAACGATGAGGTTTGGAATCATATCCTTTTAGGGAATTATGAGGCACATATGAAGGTACGAGTATGTACATTTTCCACCTAGTTTTATTTGAATTCAGGGGGAAGGCCAAAAATGGCCCAAAACCAATCCCTTCTTTAATATTTCTATGTATATAACATTTTAAAAAATTTCACCGTTTTTTATACAAATTGAAACACTTTTAAGAAGTGCTGAGAAAATTGATATCTTTTCTAGAATTCTTCATATATGTGAATTTTGAAATATTTTAAGATTTCTAAAATTTCTCGTTTCATAATTTCTGAAGAAAACTTATAAGATCTGAAGAAGTTTAAAGCAGAAACTTTTTCAGAAATTTTTATAAATTCAAAATATGATAAGTTCTCTTAAAAATATTATAATATATGAAAATTTTTTTCACCGAGAATATGACCATATTAAACTGCCATGCGTGATAGGTTGCTGTCGGAATGGACGTTTAATAGACACTCGACACTTATCGTCGCCCGATCAAATTGCAAAAATCGAAACAACAAAGCGAGAGCTTATCGGGAGTCTATCGGGAAATACGCGATAGCGTTATACACCGCTTCGGGGAAAACAAGAGCACTTTGCGCGACATTGTTCGTCGCCAGCCTTTAGATCATTTCTGTCTCCGCTCTGGATATTTCATTCGACTTATTTTCATGAATAAAATCAGCCGCGCCGACCGGTATTATACGCGCTTATAGCGAGTCTATAGAAAGCGCTCGTACATACAAGGTGAATGCTAATGCGTTCCAAGTTCACCTATACTTGTACGTAGAGGGTGTACCAGATCTAGCGAAACACTTCCTTCGATTAATTTAGATTCCGATTTCTCTCAACGAAAGCTTCGAAGGAAATCGTTATCGGTCATTATGATAACTTTAACGACGTGACGAAGACAATTTTCAAAATCATGTTTAAGTATGTTTTAAACGACGATAAGAACCAAATATCATAGCGACAAATCAAGTTAATTCTGTTAACTAAATATTTTAATTATCAATTCAATGTATTACATATAATTCAAATCAGAGATCATAATTAAATTAGCATTTCAAATTATGTTTAGTAAAGTTAGACTAGGAAAATTCTTAATTTTGTATTTTTATATCGTATTACTAATAATTTTAATTTTAAAATTTAATAATGTTCTTTCATAATGCAAAGATAGCTATTGCTATTTAGAATTGTAGAGTTTTGTCGTTTTTTAATCAAAATTTAATTAAATAATTAATTAATTAATTAATTAAAAATAACTGTTAGATAATATTTTCAATATTGTCAGAATCATATCTGTCATCCGTCAAGTTATAATATTAATTATTATAATATTAAGTATCTCGAATCATTTTGAAATAACAAATATACTCAGACAAAGACCATTTAAAATTGATTGAAGAGTGTCATCGGTTTTCAGCATTAAAGCTTACAATAATAACTCTTACTTTTCTACCTCAGTAAACATGTCATAAATTATATTCTGATATTTTTATTGAAGAGAAATTAATTTTACTCATTAAGTCCCACATGATATCTACGCATTAGCTGTTTTAAATCCTTGTAACTCGGGTCCTAATCAAAATTTTTAGATGGCAATTGGTATTTACAGATAAAGAATTGTTCTTTCCAAAAATCTAACCAGCTAGGGAAAAAAGATATAAAAACCGAAAGTGCAAGTAAAAAAGTAAGTTACCCTTATTTTTTTAAGTGACAAATATTAAACTAATAATTGATTTCGTGTATCTTTTTGAATAAAATAAATCGTAATCATTATTTAAATTCATTATTTAATCTGTAATAAAAATTATGGATCAAGAAGGTGAAAATATGTAAAGGGATAAAAAAAATTTGTTTTTGAGTTTTTATGCAATTCGACATTTAAAAAATTTCAAAGTAGCCTTCATATTTTGATTAGGATCTGAATTACAGGGTTTAAAATAGAAAATCGCGAAAATATCACCTGGGACTTAGGGCCACTTTGATTAACTTCGATTAACTTTAATAGCCAATTAATTCAATCGTCCAGGTAACAAGCTAATCCTAAAAATGTTATTTGTCCTCAAAATGACTTTTTTGCAATTTTAACGCAAAAAATGATGATAAATAATGTCAGTTTACTATCTGCGATACTATCTATTGAGTTAATCGTCGATTAATGTTAATCAGAATTGGTCGAAGTGGCCCTTAATAAATTAAGAAAACAATCAATCAAAAAAATCTATAATAAAAGCACATCAAGAAATTGAAATTTCGAGACATCCTTTGTACGAAGTGTTAGTATGATTGAAGACGCAGAAAAAACGGAGTGAGTGGCCAAGATCTGGCTGTCTGCGCGGATTATTTTTCCCTTGAAACGCGAGTTGCCCCCGTAACCGATTGTTCCACTTACTATATTTGATCGAAGCCACGCAATTATTACTAATCGCTGACCGACGATAAAATTAGAACGTTTTATCATAATCTGCAAATTAGGTGACGCGCGGGTCATGAGAATTCTTGGACTGAAACGATAGAGAAAAAAAATAGAAAAATACAAACAATAAGTTAGCGTGCGTTAGCACTAACACGTCACGTAGGCATCGTAAAACGATAATACTGACGTTCTATTTCCAACTGAATTTCACAGGGATATATAACTGCTATTTTCGCCAACAGTCTATAATTACAACTTGACGGGACGTGTAAACGCGCAATTTCGTACTCACTCCTCAAATATCAATCCGATCACGGTAAAAAGAAATTTAACTATCCTACGACTAATTATATTCTATCGAATATATTTTACACATACATATATTTATACATATTCTTTAAGTTTTACAGTATTTTTTTAAACAATCAAGCTTCAATACTCCATCAGTTTTCTTTGTAAAAGCTCAACGATAGAATTATTGGCGAATTATTGCACAAGTACCCGATTCGCAATGTTGAAGTTCGGTTACATATATATAAAGAATGACCTTCTTTACACTCGCGAAATAATTCATTTCTCGAGCTTAAGGTTGAACAACGATGTTATAACCCGTTAAGAACCTTCATCTAACTTCCGCCACGTACACGCTCGGAATAATCATTATCATTAATGTTCGCACTGGTGAAGCAAAAATGCCGCTTGGAACAGTATTTATAGTCATATTTTCTGGAATAATCTTGAAACAAGATAAAATAAAGCAAATGGAGAAAAATAAGAAAAAATAAATAAAAGTTTTTAAAAAAAAGGTAAAAAGGTAATTAGATAAAGAATATAATTTCTTCATACGCGTATACTTGCAAAAAAAAATGAACTAAAATATAGAAAAAATTAATGACATAAGAGGCTAATGAGACTCAAGCGCGGTATTTAGTGCGCAAAAAATCAATCTTTAATAATACTTATAAATACATCAGCATCTAGATGTTTTGGCTTAGATTCGAGCCATCTTCAGCAGTACAAAATCTCAAATGAAGTATCATTCTCCACACACATGCCAAAGTTAATAGTTACCCAGTGTGTGTCTATCATCTACTAACTGAACATGATAGACACACACTTAATATCTTTATTAACCTTGGCATGTGTGTGGAGAATGATATTTCATTTGAGATTTTGTATTACTGAAGATGGCTCAAACCTAAACTGAAACATTTAGATGCTGATGTATTTATAAGTATTATTAAAGATTGATTTTTTGCGCACTAAATACCGCGTTTGAGTCTCATTAGCCTCTTATGTCATTAATTTTTTCTATATTTTAGTTCATTTTTTGCAAGAAATACGCGTATGAAGAAATTATACTGAAGATGGCTCGAACCTTCAACATCGAAATGTCTATGTATTTATAATATGTATGTATTTATTATTAAAAATTGATCTTTTGCGCACTAAGTACCGCGCTTGAGAGGCTCAAATTAGCCTCTTTTGTCCTTAATTTTAAGTACGAGAGTTCATCAGTATCTTGGTTAAAATAGAATATGATAAAAATATAAAGAAAAAAGGCTAAAAATTATACACGTCGTATAAATATTTTTTCTTTCTTGTTTATAATCGCAATTAACGTAAGTTCCGTCGTGTAAATTCTTTTGTTACAATTATCTTGTAAAGTTTGTTGTAAAGAACTCACATCCAATAATTCGTTTACGGATGTCGTCCGGCCGAGTGTTAATCTGCATTGTTGACCCATTGCTGTTGCTCATGGTCGCCATAGGTATATCGGTAGGATTGACGCGCGATTCAAACCTCGCCACCTGGATAAACAGAATTCCGTGAAAGATATATCTCATTTTTTTCATTCATTAATATTTTGTATCATTGTCTGCGTTCGTCTTTGTATAGAGCATTTACGTCATTTTATCTTTATTGTTCATTAGAAACTGGAATTAGAATTAAAAATCGTTAATTAGATGTGAAACAAAGACGAAATGATGCAACACACAATGCTGATAGCACACTTCCAATATGACATATGTCAATATATAACATATGTCGTTATTAATATAGTAAGTATTTAAATACGTATATATAAGCACAATATACACGATTATATACGTATTAAAATACTTTGATTTTATTTAATTCTCATCTCTCTTTTACATGTACATTATATAATGTCATGTTAAAAAACAAATTATTACTATTAATTAATAATTATTATAATATCGCCTAAATAATTTCTTTCTTGTAAGACTTATAAATCAAGAAAGGATTACAAAAAAGCATTGTAAAAATTATATCGCAAGATTGCAATATTATACATACTTATGTTGCTACGACGCGGATTGCAGAAATGTTTTAAAATATCAAAAAGATTACAATAAAAACATGTAATTTGTCTTATGTAAATAGTGACACGATGTTGTTGCAAATAACAAAGAAAATTCATTATAGTCCAAAGAGGACATAATACACGTGCAAACATATATGCATGATTTTAATTAATCTTAATGTAACGTTATATAATATTACTTTGTATATAGATAACATGTCTATATACAATAATAAGTCTGTTATCTAGAAGAATCTGGGATTCCCAAAGAATTTTTTTATCTGCAAAGAGAAATATCATAGAATTCTTAAAAAATTTTAACAAAACTTAAGAAAGCTTTCTTAAAATTATTAAGCCATAAATTATTATTATTATTATAAGATCCTTTGACAGAATGAGCTTTTTCCATTTCTACTGTTAATTGTTTTTACATATCGGTCAATATTTAATATATTATTAAAATTATGTTTTTAAAATCTTATTATTTTATAAGAATCAAATGCTATAATTTTAATATCAATGCTGTATAATTTGTTTAACATTTTTAGATGTTAAATATTACAAGTAAATTTTTCTTTTAAATTCATCTTTAATATTTAAATATTAATACTTGTACCTGTCTTTGTTCTACATAGCAAACTAGTTTTATTCTATTCATTGGAAATAAAAAGAAAAATTTTACGCAATATGAAACTCTTGATTTACGTTTTCCATTTTTTATTAGTATGTTTCCAAATTTAATATTTGAGACAAGTAATACTTTGATTTTTTTCTCTATAATTTTCATCATATAAATAAAAAAGGAAAAAAGAGATAGATAGCACAATCAAATTTATTTTAAACTTGCCTTTAAAAATGCTCTAATTTTGCTTAAAATTGTTTATGTGAAAAATATATAATGTAATTATAATATTAAAAATTTATTTAAAAAATACTTAAGAAACTCGTATAAAAAAATTCAGGAAATTTTTCGAAGATTTGATTTATCCTGATAAATCACACATACTTTTCCGTGAATACATAATTGCTATCTTACTTTTATCATTAATATAAATAATATAATGTATTATGATTAATATAATGTTATAGAACGATCAAGTTTCACGTAAATATTTGCGTCATATGTGTAATGATAAAAGTAAGATAGCAATTATGTATTCAAGGAAAAATACGTGTATCAGGATAAATCAAATCTTGGAAAAATTTCCTGAATTTTTTCATACGAGTATCTTAAGTATTTTTTTATAAATTTTTATATTATAATTATATTATATATTTTTATTATTATGTTATTATAATTAATTATAATAACTTTAACATATTACATGTAAAAAATAACGGCGAATTTAATACTTGACATATTAACTATAATTAATTATAATAACATTATAATTAATTATAGTTAATATGTCAAGTATTAAATTCGCCGTTATTTTTTACAAAATGTGCATAAAAAAGAATAACACAATTTTTTTCCTATTCCAAATTGGTCTGTTAAATGTCACCACTGTATTTAAAATATTATTGCATTATAAATAAATATACTATCTACGTTCAAACGTTGTAATATCAAACTGCGATCTCTCGGAAGAACATTTCAACACTGCTGCATCCGACAGCAGCACTATGCAACATACATATTTAATTGCAATCTCAAAATAATGAAATACCTTTACAGCCGTATGCAATTTTAGAATTGTATCGCACCGCGCGGTATATTTTCACTACGTTTCCTGAATGTTTCCTATTACAATATTGTTCCCGAATCCGGGGATGAAATTTGACAACTCCGCGGTGAATCAACGCTCGACTCCGGTCACCCGATCTGCGCGCACCACCGCACCGCGCGTTCGACACACAAATAAGATAACGAAGGTGGGAGTGATTGATGCACATCAGCGATACCGCGATGTACGCCTATCCTCCGCCGCGGGACACGGTACCATGTGACACGGTGATTAAATCACGCATCGATTCAAACATACGGAACTCGGCAATAACCGTCCTCATTTCGCGTCACCTCCGGGAAGCTGCCGCTCCCGGCTCGCCGGGATTTCGCACAGACGGCGAATTCGCAATGCGAGAGGTCGTTCACTCTGCGGTCTCGTCCTTATATCCATCATTTGGCAAAACACCCTCTTCGTCCCGGTAACCGGAAATAAGGAATTAAATTTTCTCATTCGTCGACGATGCGGGGGCGATCGCCGAACAATAATCGATTCGATGAGTTCGATTCGCGGTTTGGAAGAAAAGTGTGATTCCTTTTCTTTTTATTTGTTTGTTGTTTCATCACCTTGCCTCACTCTGTCTGCCGACGGCGCGTATAGACGTGTTAACGGGTGGTGTAGAATAGGCGGAACCAGAAGTGAAGTCGTCGTCACGGCGTCGCGACGCTTTATAGAACGGGTCCGGGCGCCGCCCCGATGAGTAGTGGATAGTGCACGCGACTTTGGTGCGCCTCGCGGGTACAACCCGCCATCATACAGTCACCCACACCCGTTCGCGCGCTCGCCTCGCCGTTTCGCAATGTACGTGCCCGTCCTCACACACCCACGGGCTATTTGCGGTATCGCGCCGCGAAATTCGTCCGAGCTGTAGTCGCTGTAGGCCGGGAGAAACGAGAATACGTCATCCCAATCGCACGCGCCGATAACCCACGCATTCTTTCCTTTCCGCTTTAAAATTATACGATTATCGAACGCGTTATTTAATTCAGAGACAGAGATACTTTATAATTAATATTTTACAATTTAGTTCATTCTTTTTAGAAGGATTATTATCAAAGAATTGTATCATAATATTTTTAAAATATCTCTTCGTAAACTGTATCTTAATTGCCGCTATTGCGTTCCTCCACTGCCGTATCTCGTTGCGAAATTCGCCCGACGCAAAGATTCTAGACAAAAATATTTCATCCAATCGCGCACCATCTTGCGCATTCTTCCTTTTGATTTTAAAATTGTACAATTTTGAAACGTATTCAGAAATATGTTATAATTACTTTTGTAATTCATTCTTTAAAATATTGTATTTAGAGAAATATTATATTTCTAAAGCATCTTTTCTCAAAATCAACATCATAAATAATGTTGACACTGTGTTTCTCCAATGCCATATCTAATTGCAAAATTCGCCTGAAATGCAAATCAGGACTTGCGCACATTTTCTCTTATAAATTCTTTGATTTTAAAATTAAACAATTTTGAAAAACGCATTATTCAGAAATATTTAATAATTACCTTTATAATTAAATAATTTGTTTTTTTAGAACATTATTATCAGAGAAACAATATAATATTTCTAAAATATGTTTTTGCCAAAATCTTGTTGAAACACATTCCTTCACTGTCGTACCATCTCATTGCAAAATTCGTCCAAAATGTAAATTGAGAAACTCGCGATATCTCGCGCGAGAGATATTCTTCACTTAAAAATTAGGTATAATATAATTTTAGAACGTATTATTCAGAAATATTTCTTAATTATTTTTATAATATGAATAATTCATTTTATAGAAGATTATTATTAGAGAAATTTATCACATTATAATATTTCTAAAATATCTTTTCGCAAAAGCAATATCTTGCTGACACTGCGTTCCTCCAATGCCGTATCTAGTTGCAAAATTCACCCGATGAAATCGGGAATATCAGGTCTCGCACATTAATATCTCGTACATTCTCTTTAAATTCTTCTGATTTTTTTAATTACACAATTTTGAGAAACAGTTATTCAGAAATATTTTATAATTACTTTCATAATTAAATAATTCGTTTTTCAGAAGATTATTATCAAAGAAATATATCACATAATATATTTTTAAAATCTATTTGCAAAATTGATATTAGGCGCGTTGCAAGAGCACGCTGTCAGCGCTATTCTGTGCTATTACGTCATTCCATCTTTATCGTTTATTAAACGTAAAACAAGAGTGGAATGACGCAATAGCATTGATAGCGCGTTCCGCGAACGCGCCTATGACATTCCTCCACTGCCGTACAGCCTTGTGATATTCACCCAATGCATCAGATCGAAACAAAAATATTTTACTTGCAATCGCGCATCAATATCTCGCACAATATTCTTCTTTAATAATTTTAAAATTATACTATTTCAAACACATTATTCAGATATATTTTATAATTATTTTTATAATAAAAAATTCATTCTTTAAAAGATTATCAAAAAATTATACTTCAAAAATATCTGAACATACAAAATCTTGATAATATTGCGTTCTTCTATAATACTTACGAAATTCACTCGCTGCAGATCGAAACAAAAATATTTCAGTTACTTGCACACGATCGCATTTTTCGCGCATTCTTCTAGGTTAAAAAATGTTTAAATACATCATTCTGAAACATTTTATGATTAATTTTATAATTAAATATTTTTTCAGAAGATTATTATCATAAAAATTTATAAGAAATTTTTTTAAATGTATTTTTTAGTTAACTACTAACATTAGTATTTTTTTTAAATACTAATGTATTTTTCCGTCTATGTTTTGTTATGAAATTGATTCAATGCCAATAGCCCGGTCAAGTTAGACCAAAAAATAAGAGTGAAGTTACATAAATTTGCTGTCAGCTGAAAATCGGTAAAATTGTTCAAAACACAATAAAAAACAATTTCTCAAAGTTCCCCATCGTTCCGGTTTAAGGAACAAAATTGACTCGAGGTCAAAGGTAAAAAAAATGGGTTTTTCGCTATTTTCTTCAAAACAGTAAGTTTTATCGCAAAATTACCTCAGACATAAATTGTAGATCATAAAATTATCTATAAAAAAAGTATCAATAACTTTTTTCCTAAAAGCCACCGTTACTGAGATATAACGATGCAAAAAGTTGCAAGCGTCATAATATGCATAAGCACGTCACGTATATACTCTCTGTAGCTGTAATATAAGTAAAAATATTTTTCTATCCGTGATTTTAACTTACATTTAAAATATAAAATATACATAAGTATTATTATGAGAATATCAGGTATAATGAAACTCAGTCCCTTAATTTATACGCTAGTGTAACCTTGAGACGACAAGTAACATTCCTTTTAGAATTTCCCATTCAATATGCCATTGAATGG